TATATATATATATATATATATATATAAACATTGTCAATAGGTAAATGATAAAAGCAATGCTTATTGTTATTTGTTTATATATAGGATTATATATACATGTATATAGGGATATACCTTATTATCTGTATAATATATATAAAGAAATTTTTGTATACAGTGAGTTTAATGACAATAAAAGTATATAAAAATTAATTTAAAGCATATTAATCTCACTGAAAATTGTACATACATAATTACTATATATATATATATATATATATAGTTTTATATATATATATATATATATATATATATATATATTAAACATCAAAAAATATAAAATATATATATACATTGTAAAACATCTAAAAAAATATAAAAATACATAAGATTTGCAATATAAACATTTTAGATGTATATATAAACATCTATATTGTAAAACATCATCTTATGTATTTTTTTGTTGATGTTTTGATCTAAAAGGCTTTCAACTTGAGGAATATGAGAAAAAAAATCATGAAATGTTTGTGAACAATGTTTTTAAGCCTGATTTCCATTGCTGTAAATCAGTCTTTTGAGATGATTATAACAAAAAATATAAAATGAAAAAATAGGCCTACAGAAGAAAAACAATAGCAATAGTATGTGACTATTCCATTTGGAATGCCCTTTTCAATCATACTGTATGTGGGAAAATTGTTCTTTAATACAATAATATTATGTAATATAAATAAATAAATAAAATAAACAAAATAAATAAAATAAATAAAATAAATAAAATAAATAAAATAAATAAAATAAAATAAATAAAATAAATAAAATAAATAAAATAAATAAAATAAATAAAATAAATAAAATAAATAAAATAAATAAAATAAATAAAATAAATAAAATAAATAAAATAAATAAAATAAATAAATAAAATAAATAAATATTATGTAATTGCTCTTTGTATTTTTGTGCCCTGCATATGCTTGGTCCTCCAAGCTGTGACCTGGGATGTTCGTTCCTTTCTATATATTTTGAAAAAAATAATGATATCAACAAGTAACCATAAAGAAATAGTGCCAAGTCAATGTGACGTTGTTGGTGAGTTTTGTTAATGAGATGCTCTGCCCCATTACTTTTATTGAAATTGTTCTGGAGTTTTAAAATTGTGTTGATGTAATGAAATTTAATTAAATATTGTTTTGTTTAAAGCCTGTATTATTATTACTTCTCTGTTCATAAATAAATTTAATAAATTGAATTGAATAAATTACTAATGTTTTCAACCTATATTATATTTTAATTCTTAGTTTCAAATGGAACATGTTAATGAACCCATCATTTCTATTATACACATTAGTCATTTTGAACGTGTTGTAACACTGACCGAAAGGTAGTAAGGATCAGTAGCCAAAAAGTTACTGTTTTGAATCAATCTGAACCAGTGTTATACCAAAATATCTTAACTTAAATCCATGAACTTCACGGTCTTACAATAGGCATCATGTAAATGTACATACATATTTTAAAATGGCCTCCACTGAAACTATATGGAATAACAATATTAAAACATTTGAGTTATAAATTATATATTTGCACACGAAACAACTTCAGGCGTTAAAACACTATCCTGTATGCCTTGTGTATCATTGTTTGCCAGCGTAAAGCGAAATCTATACAGTGTAATCTAAATAGTTTCTAAAACACACACCTTTAAATTTCGTCAAAAGTAAGAAATCTTACCAAGAGTGGTAAATTAACCCATATGCCAACTGGTAACTTCCATGCTCGAATTTGATCAAAATTAGCTGGTTCCGCCTAATTTGCTTGGGCGTACCGTCGAACATATTGTTATTATACAGTAAATCCGGAATGAAGACTTGGTATTGTCCGTGACTTGTGGACTGAAACGTTCTGTAAAGTACAAAATTCCTCAACTTGAAAAGCAAAGTAAAATAACTAAATATCTGCAATGTGAGTGACGATGGTTTTTCTAACCGCCTGATCAGTCACCTTTGTCAATCGGATTTCACGTCTCTATAATTGTTTTCAATAAAAAGCTCATTTCAAACGAAGACCGACTCATTGACCCACAAATGGTGGCTAGGAGACGCATTGACAAACACGTTAACTGGCTAATAACTTTGGAGTTATGGTATACGATGCTGAATATTTGCTACATTATGAAAACACATATTGATATTCATTAATGCTTCTGTTCCATTTTATTTTCATTTTATTTAATTACTCCTTGATACATTAAAAATACGTACCTACAAAACACTGACATTATGAAGAGAGATGTATATATATTCATTTATTTATAAATATATAACTTGATTTGAATATTATTTACTATGATTTACCAGCTGTTACTTAAGCTACTACGTAACTTTAAAATGGCTACACTATTATGTGAGCCCTCAAGTTGTATGAATGAAGAGAGAGTAGTTGTATTAGATCCGTAGTGATATGGTACGGGCCTCTGTGGTCTAAACGTTATGAGCTCGCCGATATAGCGAGAGATTGCGGGTTAGATTCCCAATAGAGACCTCTCTTTTTCATAGCTATAATATGGAACTATCGTTGATGAATTGTGTTTGACACGACTTAGCATTTCTACGTTTTGCCTGAGATTTTTCAGTCTCCTCAATTCATGCATGTAACTGTTGTATATTTTAGCTGTCTAATTTTTGGCTTTAGTATACTATACTTATACTTTTTACTTGATAACTTATTCCATTTGCTTGTATTTATGCTTTTTTTCTATAGTCTATATGATGTTTATAGCAGTATACTTTGTATATGATCGATTTATTCGACTTTTAACGGGGTTTATGCTCCGCCTCTAACTAGTCACATTTATGCTTGCTAAGTTTATATGATGCCAATAGTTCTGTACATTTCATTAACGCTGAAGAAGTCCTGAGGACAGGACGAAATAGGCCTATACTTTTTTCAATATAATAATATAGGCCTATGTTTTATGTTCCGTAACACGTCAACCTCTGTCATTTATTTCCGTACTTGACTCACATGTTATACTTATTTGGAGCATACGT